AGTGGCCTGGTTGGTGGTACCCCCAAGACTCTTAACCTGGAGGTTCTTGCCCATCTGGCTACTATGACCAGTTACTATGATCTTGGTATCCATTTCTTTGAGCTAGCCTTTACAGTAGAGCCATCAAAGATTCAGCTACCTCTCTACTCAGGTCTTTCTAAATGGACTTTTTGTTACTTAATTTTAACAGATTTATATGGCCACAAGGACTTATCTAGTGTTTGTACCACCTGATTTGTCAGTTTGCATTTCTCTGTGTAATGCCATACTTATACAGATGTCCTATGACCTACCAGCCATGCTAGTGTGACCACCATTACAGGTATTCTAATTTAATTGTTAGTAACAGTTATTATAATACAAATATTATATAGGTGATTATCCAAATTTTCATTGTCGATAGAATTTGAACACCTAACCTACTACTTGGAAGGTTGACAACCTGACCACTTTACTAGGTCACCACACTTACAATTTATTTTTTGTAAACTATTTTTGTTATACTATTAGTTACTTTATTTTTAATATCAAATCTTGATTATTTACTGTTTATAATAATCAAATAATTATTAACAAGCTCAAAAGATATAACACTTATATTAGTCTTATTTTTATTACTTACTAGTACTGCTTATTTTAGTTTTAGTTTTCTAATATTTATCTATCTTTTTCTTTTGTTATTACATTATATACTAGATGTTATTTTTAACTTAAACATAATTATTAACAAATATATTATTTTTATTTTTACTAATTTGATTACCAACTACTTTGTTATATCTATTTTAACAAAATTTTTAATCTTTATACAAACTTTCTTAATATTATATATTCTGTTGCTTTTTAACATTTTTTATATATTTTATCTTTTTTTTATTAATAATTAACTTATAATAACTGCTATCTATTTTTTAATTATATTAACTTTTTAATAGTCTTCAAACTATTACTAATTTAAATTATAATTTATAATCTATTTTATTTTATACTAATGGTTTTATTATTAATTTTGGTATCTTTTAATGCTCTATAGATATAAATTAGATTTAAATTGATAACTTAATAATTATTTTAGACACAAGTTAAACTTTAGTTATGTTTTTTTAAAACTGCAATTCTTGTTATTCTTTTAGCAATTATTACTGCTTCTAAACACTACTCTGTTTATATATTTATTAACTCACAATTAGTAATTTCTAAATATTATAATATTTGTTAGTTAGCATTTATTTTTTTTCACATCTATATTTTATACTTCTTTATTTGATAAACTCTTATTAACTTTATTAACTCCTATAACATTTAACTTATTTTTTACAAAGTTACTGCATACCAAAATAACTATTTAATAATATTATTGACTAATTTAATTATAACTACTAAATATTATATTATTTAATATTCTTAACCAACAATCTTTATAACCTTATTATATTTTATTTATTGACTAATTTCTTATTAAAATTTCTATTTCTTATTTTATTAAAATTATATTAATAACAATCAAAAAATTTCTAACTTTGACTCTTATCTATTTTAAAAATCTTTTATATTAAAATTCTTATAAATAAACTTCTTATTTTTAATATTATCTATAAATATAACTTTTTCTATTTTTCTTTCTGTTATTATATAATCAAACTAGTTCTTTATTTTATTGAACTATTTGTCTTTTAACTTATACAATTTATTATTTAATTTCTAATTTTCTTAACTTTATCTTAAACATAATCTTTCTTAATATATCTATCAATCTTATTTTTAATCTAAATAAAAAAATTCTTATACTTAATAATTTTAAATTATATAACTTTTTATACATAGTTTTTTTATTTTTATTCTATCAGGTTTAGTTCTTACTAATCTTATTTCTACTATTTACAACAGTTTTATTTCTTATCATATTATTATTTTTCTTTTTATTAAATCTTTTTTTATTTTAACTAACAAATATATAAATAAATTTAGATTTTTATTATACTTTACATTTTACATAGTTTTCAACTATATTATTTACTAATTTATCTTATAACTCTTCTTTTAATTTAACTTTGTCTTCTATTTTAATTTTAATAATTATTATTGAAATTAATTTTTAGACTATCTAATAGCTTAAATATCATATTTCTCTCTCATATATTATTATTTATACTCAAATTTAAATAAATTATATATTTGAGTTTTTATTCTTTATATATAATTTAAAAGTAAGCTTTTTTTTGTAAATTTTTATTTAAATTTTAATAAATTGAAACTATAACCTTATCTTAAATATTTAAAAAAAAATTTAATTTAATAAAAATTTTTTGTTTGAATTATAAAGATCTATAAAATTCTAATAAAAATTTTTTTATTAAATTTAAATAAATAATTACTAAAATATAATTAAAAAATTTTTTTAAAAAATTAAAATTTTATTATAAGATTCAGATTTTATTTTATTTTATTTTTTATAGTTAAAATCTCTATCTTGGAGATGCAATATTTTTATTCAAGTATATTAGAACACAACATGTCACCAGAAGCTTACCTTACATTGAAGCTTACAACTAGTCATACGTGCACTTTTGGTACCTAATTTAAGTAGTCTATTTATACATTGCTATATAAGTTTTATACTATTGTTATACCTGCAATCTGATTAGAGGTCTTACCTATTTAAACCCTCTGTATATGCAATCCTCCTTGTATTACAAGAACATCTCAAGGCTACACTCATCCAAGTTTTTAATACTTGTTGTTATCCTTAGGACTAGTTTATTCTTGACAGAAAACTTACTAGAGCCTTTATGTCCTACATATATAAACCTAGTTTTATGCAATATACTATAGTTACCTAACACTTACAGTCATAAGAGTTATCTGTTTAACCACTATGATATACTATTCCTACTTTTGTAAAGTTCACTAGAACCCTAGTATCTATCTTTCCAGTTCTTCCTCATCATCTTCTATTAATTACAACTCAGAACCATCAATTTTATTCCAGACTACCAATTCAGATAGTCTAATATAGTATACTCTGTATCCTTTTCTTTTGGTGAATTAGCAGTCTAGTTAGTTATATACTTCTCTATACATATTTGATATCTAGTTTTAATCTTCAGTTTCTATGAAGATATTTTGTAGACTTTAACCAGTCTGATAATATTGTTGAAAGTTTATACTACTTCTTTAATTAGGAATTTCTAAGTGGGTTTCTGTCATCTTGGTTTCTTAGTTTTCTATACCCAATAGTCTTATCATGGATTTGTACTGAAGTCTTATGCAACATTAGTTATACATTCTTCTATATATATGTAATGTTATACTTTATATAGATGTCTGAGCTTCCAATATTAGTAGGACCTGATTTGATGTATCTGGATAACAGCTATATGAGGCCAACTGATCAACAGAAGACAGTTATCATAATACAGATATAATTTTCAAATTTCATCATAGGTAGGATTTGAACCTTAGACCTGCCACTTAGAGAATGACAACCCAACTACTATACTAGAATCGTTATTCTCAAGATTCAAATTTTATAACTTAGTAATTAAACTTTTGTTATCTTATAAATAAGATCAACAATTTGAGTTTAACTTGAAATAAATATTCTATAATCAAAAAATTAAAACTAATAATTAAATATAAAACCTAGAAATTTTTTAAAAAAAACTAATATAGTAAAATATAAGTATTACTATAGTGAAAAATATAAAGAATGTTGTTAATATTTGTAAAAAAAATTGATCTTAACGAATATAAAATTATTTTTGATATAAGAAATCTAAAATAAGTTTGTTTTAATATTACAGAAAATATATTAAAAATCAAAAACTTTAAACAAAAAACCTATAGATGGGTTTTAGGTATGACAATTAGCAAATAACCTGCAAGCAAAACCTTTAAATAGACAATAATTAAAGTTGTACATGTAACTAATTGTAACCTTATTGATATACAAAATGTAATACATTCTTTTACATTGATAGGAGCTAAAAAACACTTAATAAAAACCATGAAACCAAAGAAGTCTTTATAAATTGAAAAAAATAAAATAAAATTTTATTATTGTTTTGATGATTTTTTATGTGATCTGATTGGTTGATCATAAGGTCATCATGGTGACGGATCGCCATAAAATAAAGCCCTATATATAATATAAATATTATGTTATATAATTTAATTTCTGTTAACTTATTTGATTTATACCATATATACGTAGTAAATTTGAATACAGAAAATCACAATTTTTTTTTTTTTTTGATATGTATAAAAATTTTTGAAATGCATTTCTTACCGTAAATTTCGAAATAGCGAGCATGGGCGTTATTTCGAATTTCGGCCGAATTAAGCCTAATTCGGGCCGACATTCGAAATAACGCCCATGCTCGCTATTTCGAAAATTTACGGTAGCCTTTTTTTTTATAGTTAGGTTAGGATTTAAGATTGATTTTGATAATAAAAAATATATAAGTAGATTTTGTATAGGGTTTATATCTAATCGAGGGCCCTAATTCCAGCTTCAGTCACGATAATAAATATAATTTTCGCCATTGCTGTAATTTGTGGTATGATTTTGCATCGTTTTTTTACGTCCTTTTCACGCATGTATGTACGCCAAAAGAAAATCATTAGGATTTACAGATTTTCACATGGCGTCACTTAAAATAAGTGTAAAACTTTTAACTATATTAATTATATACGTAGAGATAAAAATTTTACATCTTTAACGTTAATAGGTATGAATATATTGAGTAAATTTATAGTATCTTACTAATTGGCTAAAATAAGACAACTGTCACGGAATGAATAGAAATTAACTCCAGTGATATAATAATAAAATTTTATTAATAGCAAACGAATTATACTACTTTATAAGTAAATAACTTTCAATATTTTTATCATGGGATTTTGATAACTAAATATGGTTTAATTTAATTTGACATAGCGATAGCGGTAGTATCGGGTATACTACATTTGAGGCATCATTTGACAAATGTAAACCTAAAATGTCTAATACTAATTTTCTGAAAAATCTTGTGGTTTAGATTTTTTTTTATCTGTTTGTAATACAAAGACCTAAAAAATTTGGATAAAAATCAACTTGACTGTAATATTTCAATTTCTAACCTTGATAAGAAACTTTTTTATCCTTTAATGATATTGTCATTTTTTTTTTTTTTTTTTAATGATTTGAGTCAATGTAAACTTTTTAAATTTCTTGATTTTTATAATCCAGTTGTCATTTATAGTAATTTTTGTAACTGCCAAATTGATTAAAGTTAATTTTTTTGCATCATATTGAAAGAAAAACTTTTGTTATAATGATACGAATTTGTATTTCAAAATTTCTTTTTGTAATTTTTATAATAGTAATAATAACTATATCGAGTAGGTTTTTTTTACCGCGGTACTCCGAGATTACGTACGCAAGTGCATAATTATAATCGAGAACATTCAACTAACCTATATTAATAAATATTTAGTTGATGCGCAACAGAACACTAGACCAGTAATAACGTTATATTCAACTTTAACAGTTCCTCCAACTGAAACATCACCAGCACTTCCTACAACTTACTCAACACCCACAACTCAACCACAGGATGAAACTGCTAAAGTTGGAATTATTTGCGCAGCTGTATTTGGAGTGTTTATTCTTATTACCATATCAGTGTTTACTGTTAGATGCATACGACGTCAGCGACGGCATGATCTTGGATATGGTAAGTTTTAATACGTAATTTTTATAATATTGAGAAAAAAAATACATGAGTGTATAATATGTCGGAAAATATGTATCTTCATATACAATTATTTATCTAAAAAGGAATGAGCAGCGCAAAAGTAGAGGCAAGTGGACTTCCAGAAGATGATAATCCTACAGGTCATGGAGATCCACGAAGGAAGTCAAGGGCAGGACAAAATTCCAACTTAATTAATGATAAGGCAATGGGTAGTGGTTTCGGACAGGCATATAACCAAATGCAGCCACCACCAATATATCCAAGTCCAATATATCCGAATCCAATATATCCGAGTCCAATATATCCAGGTCCAATACATCCAGGTCCAATACATCCGAGTCAAATATATAATCCAATGCAACCACAATATAATGAACCATATAATGAAGATAATAATATATTGAGAATTGCAAGTGATGAAGGTGGTCGAACAGATGGATCAAAAAATTATGGACCATCTGAAGAGGACGTATTAAGAGTGCCTAGTGAAAGGGAAAGTATGAATGAAGCAATGCGATTGGCTCAAGAAGCATCAAAAATGAAATCAAAAGAAGAAAATTCGAGAGGGTCACAGCAAGTTGTGACGTTTCCCGGAAATACAGAAATTAATACCAATCTTAAGGATATCACATAATAAATTAATCATTTTCATACGTATAATTAAAAATCTTTTAAATCTTAAAACTCATGTTACATCATATTTTTATTTTTGGGAATGTAATTTAAATACGTATTACATTAACGTTAATGCATCATTAATTCATGCATAATTCAGTAATAAAATTATAAAATTATTTCGTTTCTAAGAGTTACACAAAATATCATCTATATCGATCGCGATCTAAAAAAGTATATGTATTATATATTTATTAAAAAAAAAAAAAAATTATTATTATTTTGAAAGCTTCAATATTAAAATTGCTAATCCGTATCGATATTTCTCGGGAAAGCTAGACCTAACAAAGTAATGAACCTTTCATAGATTTAAATTATATATTATTATATTTTACTTGTTACGTTTTAAATCATATATTAATTTAGACAAATTGAACCAATGCAAATACAATAACACCAACTAAACCGAAGAAACTTGTAGAAATCGTAGAAGCCGAACTTGCTTTGGCTTTTGCAGTACTATGTTGATATTAATATAAATTAGATATCGATATCGTGTAAAACGATGCTTTAAAAAAAAATTTTGGGTTTATTTTTTTTTTTTTTTTACGCACGTATTAGTTGAACCTATAGGCTTTGTAGGTTGTGAACCTGATAAACCTGGTGAAGGAGCACTGTTACCAGCAGGTGAATTATTGCTAGGACTACCACCATTTGGAGAAGGTTTATTCGCAGGTGAAGGTGGTGAAGGTGGCGAAGGTGGTGAAGGTGCTGAGGGTGGCGAAGGTGGGGGTCCAACTGCGGGTGATGATCCTGCAGGTGCCCCGTTATTCGGACTTGAAGGGTTGTCGGACAATTGAACTCCAGCAATCACTTTAAATGTACCAGAAAATTTTTCACCACTACCATCATTAATAACAAATATATAGTCTCCTGGAGGAACATTCACTTGCCATTGTTTACTTAATTTGTTAAGATCTAGTGCGCTGTCTATCACGACATCTTCATTTGTTGCTTTATTACGTACACTTAAAATTGCTGCCATCGTGGGTGCAGCTCCAGATATTGACCAAGTAATTGTAGCCATAGCATTCGTGAAAAGTGATCCAGTTGGTGTATTGACCATAAGATCTGTTTATTAGACCGATGTTATTTTGCAAGAAGAGAAACGTAAACGTGTAAAAAAAAAAAAAAAAGTTAAAATACATCTTTCTTCTTCTTCATATCTATTGAAAGTTTTTAAAAGATCAGAACGTATACATACCACCAGCAATGACGAAAATAATCAAAGAAACAATAACGACAAACGCGATGGTAAAGAAACGATTCATTTTTTTTCTTTCAATGTCTGATTAGCTTTCTCTTTATATATATATATACAATCTTTTATTATTTTTCCTATATAAAGTTGTTCTTGTGAGTAAAGAGAAGTGTGAATAAAGGTAAATTTTTTTGAAATTTCTTGCTAATTGTTATAATCAGGTTGGCAATATTTAAAGGAAAAATTCAATTGTAAATTACGTAACAAAATGTAGAATATGCAGCATAATAACAAAAATCATACAATACAATATAAACATATTTAATAATTTGTCGAGATAGAAAATGGACGAACGAGGAGATGCCAGGAGAAACGTATTGCCTGACACTTGTACACTTAAATCAGACTTAGGAGCTACAAGAACATGCGAAATATGCTGCTAAAATTCAATTGAGCTCATGAATCGTAAATTCACTTTTGATCCAAAAAAAGATAAATCATCTTTTAAAATGGTAAATAAACACGTATAGATCGATCACTCGATGTTAGCATAAAATAAATAAATGCTTTTTTTAAAAGTGAATGTGGTTCTTATTAACCAAGAGAGTCTGATATTAATAAAAAAGGGAAAAATTCCGGATAGTTTCGTATCATGAAATATTTTAATCTTTAACTGTCAATTCATACTATATATTAGTGTATGTACATGACTTAAATTCCTAGTTTTACATCATGAGTGAAACAAAATTTCTGTTTTGCCAGTAAAGGTTAAAATCATTTCTTGATAATATTGTACGTTTGGCTCAATTAATTACTTTTCTATATGTACCCCTTTTAATAGACGCCTCAATTTGATCCTTAAATAATGTGATTTATTATTATTATCCATGTTACACGAATTTCATGATACTTAAAGCTTCATTAAGAGTTGAGACTAGAGTTTGACTAGAATTTGACGTTATAAATTTATAGTAAGTTGCTCAAAAAAAAAAAAAAAAAATCGTTTGAGCACGAGGAACAGTTTCTATGCGAATTTTTGAACTAATTTTATTTTCATTGGCTGTGTCCTGGTATTCCCTCTGAAAAATGAAATAAAAGGTGCGTATGTACATCTTAATTAAACTAATACATAGAAATAAATCTTATTTCTTTTATATTTAAAAATCCCTCCGATTATGCCTATTAATTTCATCTTCCGGATTTTTGCTTTTTTTAAACATCTTAAAATTACCGCATAAAATACTTAAATTTTAGCAATACGTTACAATAATATTTTAATAAATATGCACAAAATAATTTATAATATATAATTTACACAAAGTTTCTAAATCATTATATTCAAGTTTGTTGCTATTAATACTCGGAAATTTGTTTATTCCCATTTTAATAATTTTATGTCATTTGCCTTTTTTCCAAAAATGGGGGTTTTTTATGATGATATCAGTCATCTGATTTGTTACATATTAATATATATATAGGCAATATCGTCACTTCTAATACATTATATTTTATAACATAAATTAAAAAGTTTATTAATAATATTAAATCTAATAACTGTTATTTTAAACTATATTTTTAGGATTATATATACTATCTTTTAATCTGTTTAAGCAGGCAAATTTGCCTGTTAAATTTTTAAAAAATTAAAATTTTTTAATAAAATTTCAAATATTAATTTTAACTATAAATTTTTTATTTTTTTTTTTATTTTATTTTTTTTTTTTAAGGTGACCTTTTTGGTCTTTTGACTTTTATTAATCACTTATCAGTATTGTGGTTCAATGAACCACTACAGGAGA